ATACAAATCCAATGTTTAAAATGAAAAACAACGGCTGGCTTTCTTAAACCAGCGAAATGACACGAGGAATTAGGCAAGGCTGTCCTATTTCCGCTCTCTTGTACCTATTTGTCGCAGAAATTTTGGCTATTAAGGTAAGTCACTCATCAGCTTTTTAGAAAAGTTCACGCAGAAGCTTTTACTTCAAAACTACTTATTAAAATTCAATTTTTATAATATATTTAAATTCAACTATGTAAATTTTTTAACATTCAAAGAAAACGCTGCTCAAAAATCTACAAAGAAGCAAGATTTAAGAGGGACAATTTCTTTTGGTGGAAGTATATTTATCAGAAAATTCTGCAAATCTGCACATTTATAAAATTTAATATAATGGAAATTTAGCCTCACATACTTTTACTCGGAGAATATTTTCTGTTTTGATATTGCTAAAAATATTTAATATAGGTCTTATTTTATATTTTTAGATTAAGTTTTACACCTTCCCTCAACAAACTTTTCCAAAAATTGAAAATATATTAAAGAAGTCAAGGTCAAATTTACACCATTTTTAGCCTGAAAATAACATATTTTGACAAATATTTCAAAATTAACATCACTGACCCCACCTTTTTCTTTCATTATTTTAAACTACTCGATACTTGTGATTGATCAGCACTCAAGTCGTAAAAAGTTTGATATAAGAAAATTTTTAATTGCCTATTAAGTTTTTTGATACCCAAAATATGTTATTTTTTAGTGCAAAAGGGTCACACAATAATTTACGCGCATTAATTTGCAAGATTTGTTTAATGATAAATATTATTAAAACTATTTTACGTAAAATAAGATTACATTTATTGCCATTCTTACATCTAATCAAATATAATAAGGGTTAAAGTAATTAACCAAAGAAATGAAATTTAAGTGCAAAAAGATAAACTTAAATGTACCGTAGATTAGTAGGATGCACACTGACCCCCTATTTTCTTTGCGATTTTGAGTTACACTTTATGAGTACTTATCCAAAATATATTTCTCAAAAAATCCTTGATATAACAAATTTCAGGAGTGACTTACCTTAAAATAAAATGTGATACTGATATAAAAGCATCACAATTAATAATCATGAAATTAAAAACATCCAACATGATAAATTACAAGAACATGCGGGATCAAAAGTAAACATGCATAAGACAGAATGCATTTTACTCGGGGAACTAAAATATTTATATGATGAACTCTACGGTATAAAATTACAAATAAATCAGTAAGATACTTGGGAATATTTATAGGACATGATAAGGAAGAATGTTACACTAAAAACTTGATGAAAATTTATCACGATATTGAAAAACTTTTTGAATCCTGGAAAAGAAGAAAACTAACGTTATTTGGTCAATCATGTATAGTGAAGACACTTACTATATCTAAACTTACATATGTTGCCTCAATACTTACTCTTCCTAATAATGATTACAATAGAAAAATACAACGTCTAATTTATAACTTCATTTTGGATAAAAATGAACGAATTAAAAGAAACACGCTAATAGGTAGAATTGCAAAAGGTGGCCTCTCAATCGTAAAATGTAAATTAAAAGCTTTAAAAGCAGCTTGTGTATCTAGATTGTTAAAAAGAAAAGGTATTTTGTACATTTTTGATGGCTATTGTAAAAAATCAAATTTTGATTTTCTCTATGTGTTAGGTTTTTCTGATAGAAAAATAGAAAATATGGAAAAATTAGACAAACTACCTATATTTAATCAACAAATGTTATGTTGCTTTAATGAATGTAAGCCCTGTTTTTGAACAACTTGTCTTCCGATAATGTTCTTCGACAGCCGATATGGAACAATTGTAACTTTGTTTATAGCTAGGAGAAATACATTATTCTTTAAAAACTGGATATCCAGTGGGATTTTACATGTTAAAGACTTATTTGACGATGATGGTAATTTTAAGTAATTTTTAGATTTTTCTAATTGTATAAAAAACAAGTCAAACTAGTGTGAATTTAAAATTCTTACTTCTGTTTTCAAACCTTTGCTACTAAAGTGTGATTTTTCAAATTGAAATTATTTTCTTTTCTACACAGGATATGTTAATATCATAGATCAAAGATGTAACTTTTTCTATGACAATCTTGTACACAGAAAATTTTGTAAACCATGTTATCAAATAGTTTTAGGCAAAGAATTCAGTGTTGAACCCTCAGAATGGAAAAATATATATCAATATAATTTAATTTCATCTGTATCAAGCAATTTCATTGGCTGAATCATTCAGAGGAACATATAATATTTTGTTATACCCTTATAAATATCATTCTATATATTTATTACTATTAAAAAGTCCAACAAAAGAACTGTTTATTACGTCGGTCTAACAATTTCACTATTGACCGGTCTTACATAAGAATTGTTAGACCGCAACGTCACTCGTCTGTTACGTCACAATTAATTAATCATCGTGAAATATCGGCGACGCGAAAATAGCCGAAGTTAAGAGCTACAAGAGTTGTTGCTAACAGCTAGGTAGGGAAGAAGGAAGAGTATATTTTGTGATAAATAATTTTTGTGATACAATAGATATATAATTGATTTTTTTTTCTCAGCTTGATGTTTTATATTTACTGAAGAAGCCATAATTTTCCATACAAAATAATTGATAATATAGCGTGTAATGATTAAATTGATCACTCTTAAGTGAGCAGTGAAGGGTATAACAAAACAGTTATAGACTGGGATTCGGGCAACATATGATTTGTTGGACCTGAAGGTGAAAATGTTGCCCTTGGCCTGCGGCCTCGGGCAACATTTTCACCTTCAGGTCCAACAAATCATATGTTGCCCTCATACCCAGTCAATAACTGTATATTAATTGTATAAAATAACTTGCCTACGTCACAATGAGTTACGTCAAAAACGTATTACTCCGCTTGACGTTACTTTTAAAATAATTCTCAATTTGAAGCCTTTTTCCTGAGGAAATATTGTCTCATTGTCAACTCTGAAATTAAATTATAAGGAATGAAGCTAACTTTAACTTATGTTATCCGATATAACAAAACTTGGGGCAGTTTACGCTTTCTTATAAACCGCTTCGCTTTTAAAATAAAATTTAATTATTAAAATAAATATTAAAATAATAATTTTTAAATAAACTTTTAAACAATATTCTTTGTTATAACTTCTATCTCAGTAAATAGCAAAAGAAACGAGTAGCCAGTGCAAGTTATGCCACGTGAATGAAACTTCAAAACATCTCATTTTTGAATGTAGAAATGTTATTGAAATATGGAACAGATTAAGTTTATACCTGAAAATAAATATCAAATTGAAACATGTTATAATTATATTCAGCTAGAAGCGCAATAGAAAAATTGTATCACTTAACACATTCATCTCTTATGTTGCCTTATTTACAAATATAAGATGTACTGTCGAATAAACTCCTTAGATGAAACTAGTTATAACATTTTCAATCACGTTAAATCTTCAATTTTTTTCTATGCTTCCATTCTGAAAAATTTGAAATCACTTTTTAAAAAATTTGCATAAAGTTGTCTGAAGGTTATATTGTCATATTGTTTGTAATGTAATTAGTCTGTTATATATATATTTCACTGTTTGTTTGTATGAAGAAATGAAAATAAATTTACAAAAAGAAAGAAAAAAAAGGCCCCATCTTAAATTCGCCCAATCCTAGTTTTAACTTAGAAATTAATACTTATTTTTTTTTGTTTTCTCCCTCTCACACTGTAAAACAAATTTGCCCCGTTTAAAGAAATTATACAGATTTTTTTATTCGCCCCGTTTTAAATTTGCCCTATTTTGGGCAGGGCGAAAGAGGCGATATAAAATGTGGGCGATAATTTCCTTGTATACAGTATTTCTGACATTGATATTTTAATGACACACACACACATATATATATATATATATATATATATATATATATATATATATATATATATATATATATATATATATATATATATATATATATATATATATATATATACTATTTTCAAATACTGCAGTATTGTCTTTCTTAGTATAGAGATGTAATCGTAAGATTTCACATGCCCAGACAGCTTCCTTAACTGGACATAATCACAATATTTGATTCCCCCTCTGAAGTCCATGATAATTATGCTATCTATTAAGATATGAAATAGATGGAGCTACTACGTTTCACATTAAGAAAAATATTCACTTACTAGTTCTCTTAAAACGTTTGTTATCACACATGTAAGGATTACGAATGTACAGTGAAGAAATTCAGTTTATATAATAATATCTTAATTAACATTGTTCTACTCCTTAAAAAAGTAAGTCGTGTCTAAATAGGAGGAATTTTTTCATGAAAGCAAAAAATAAACCACCAACGATTTTAAAATTTGTAGTTCTAAAAACCAATTATTTATTCTAATTTTGTTTTACATGACTGCATGTAATGAAAGAGAAAGACACGATTTGAAATTAAAACAAAATAATTTAATTTCACTCGTATCAAGCAATTTCATTGGCTGAACCATTCTGAGGATTTATTTGCGGTTTATAAAGCGTAAACTACCCCAAGTTATGTTATATTGTATAAAAGAAGTTGAAATAAGCTTTATTCCTTAAATTATTTAAGTTGTTACAGATGATACTTTAAAGGATGAAAGATTTAATTCATTTTGTATAACATAATTTGTCTACTCACAATGAGTTAGGGCAAAAACGTATTTCTCCGCTTGACATTACTTTTAAACTACATGTATATATGCTAAATTTTAAGCCTTTTGCCAGAGGAAATATTGTGTCATTGTCTACACTGGAATTCAATTAGAAGGAATGAAGCTTATTTCAACGAACGTATAACTCGATATAACATAACGTTGGAAAGTTTACGCTTTTTTGATATAACCGACTCGCCGTTTATAAAGCGTAAACTGTTTTGTTCAGTTATATCGCATAAGGAAAGTTGAAATAAGCTTCATTCATTGAACGTATTTACTAATAAACCGTACCTAATACTGTAAGCTGTTTTATCCATTTCATTTCCATTTCCGGGTCCATTTTGTCTGTTTTGATAAAGTCTACTGATTTCTGATGTTTTGAAACGCCAAAATAGATATCAACATCTTCGGCAATTTTGCGAATGTTCATAAACTCAGTCTGGAAATCGGCATCGGGTATACCTATTTCAACAGCGTGTCCGTAGTGTTTGTTTCTGATGAACCTTATACGCTCCATATTTGCCGATACACTTCTATCTGTAGGATCAGGATCATTACCCCAACCCTTATTGTGTGCAGGTAGATTTGTCACATTACGCAAGAGAGCATATAGTAAGGATATATCCATATCGGAATAATCTCCCTTGTAGATTTTGGAAGATGGCGGAAAAATCAAATCTGCCTGAGATTTATTGAGCTTATTCGTCGTATCTGACTTCATCCAGCTTTTAACTCTCCTGGACAGGTCAGTCGTTGGAACCTCGTTGAGAAGTACATCCCTCATAATGTCAGCACATGGCCCCAGTATAAGGCGGCTGGTTCGTGCTAAGTTTGTTGTTTGTGGTGTAGACGCATACTTTGAACAAGACATGATCTTGTTTCTGTTTGTATTCCAACTATTGCAGTTTATCCTGAAAATATATGATGCATTAAATGACATATTGTTATTCCCTGTTAATCAATGTTGAAAGCGTTCAAGAAAAACAAAATCTTTAAATAAATAGCCGTTCTGTTCATTTTCCCGTCATGGGTTATGGGTTTTAAAATTCAGTTAATGTTCTAGAAAGATGATTATGCATAGTACTTAATGATCATGTGATGGTTTTATAAAGAGCTATGTGGCAACGAACTTTGAAAAATTTTTCAAAGTGCTTTAAAATTGGTACAAAATCAATGCACTTTGAAAAACAATTTCAAAGTGCGGTAAGAGTGTACATTAACCTTGATTTTTTTTACTATGGGAAATTTAACGCACTTTGAAAAATTTTTACATGTGTATAAAATAAAAATTCTAGACTTAGATTATAGTAGTTGAGAAAATCAATTTGTAACAATTATCTCTTTCGTAAAACTTGTAAATTTACATGTATTGATTTAACCTCATTGACTACAAGGAGAGGACGAGTAGAAGGTGTCTCAGCCCAACTCTTTTTCCCTATACATCATTAGCCGTCGGTAGCTAATTGAACGTGGACCCCCCCCCCAAGGTAAGCCGCAATATTCAATGCCTATATTATGTATATATATGCAATACGTTAGTGTGTCTTAGCCCCTTCCCGGTACCGATGCTACACCCATATATACAGTATATATTTATTTGCATACATGTAACTGGTGAGACGTTAAAAACTTTCAATAAATTTTAGTTTAATACATATAAAATGCATGCAAACTGGAAAACATGCAAGGGAGAGATAATTTTCAAAGAGTGGCAAAATCACTAACTTACACATCCCATCCTGAAGTGACCTCATCACCGAAGAGATATCAAACAGGTTCTTTAATTTATCATACCTAAGATTTGCAAGAATATTGACCAAGCCATACACATTTTTTTTCAAAGTACGTTAATATGGTCGATATTAACGCACTATGAAAACAAATCTTATTTTTTCAAAGTGCGTGGTCCAAAATTTAACGCACTTTGATTTTTTTTTCAAAGTGCGTTGTAACAGCTCTACTATACATATTTACCAAATTTACTTTCACTTTAATGTATTAAAAAAACGAAAGAATAGGCATATTCTTTGAAAGAATTTCATTTATTGTGCAACCTTTTTAAAAAAAGTTATTGGGCTCTTTGAAGTTAATTCTAGGCCAGGAAAATACTTTCAGAATGTTGATATGCAATGATCAGATGTAAATATTTGTTTGAGAGACATATCTCTTAATTTCATCGTGAGGAAATTGGCGGCTTTACTTTTATTTGGTAATGTTCGAGTAGAAGACTGCATACCGACAATCAGCTATAGTGGTATATCGATGTATAGAATATATAAATACGCCTTCCTGCTTACGTGGAAACTAAACCCCACTCCTTAACAAAAGAACGCACAAAGGGAGATAATCTCGAAACTTGCATATTTGGTATAAGGAGATTTAAAAAAAGTAAAATACGTACATATCGCGCAAGTTGGTGTGCTTTATAATGTAATATTAAATGATTAGAATGATTTGAAGTAAGACATTCAAATTTTCACATGAAATGATTAAAAAAAAATGAGAACTATCTAGTAAGCTATAAAAATTCTGTACTTCATTTAGAAGTTTGGTTCTTATTTTTCACATATTCTTTTATTTCTTTCAAGTCCAATATAAGTCAAGTTTCAATGTTTAGTTTGTAAGAAGATAATCTTTACCTAGTTATGCCTCTTTTAAAGTTATTCAGTAATGTTTAATATTCTTCACATTGGAAATCACTTTTAAGCTTTACATAAGAATCCATCTTTCCATAAAAGGTGTTCTATTGTTTCCTCTTCTGAGTGGCGAAAATTGCAGTATTTAGAGTCATTTTTGTTAATTTTGAATAAAAATGAATTTGTTGCTAAAATTCTGTTTATAATTCTATATTGAATCCATTGGAGTTTACAGTCTTTTGTCACTCTGAATGGTATTTTGTGGAATTTTTTCCATTCTTTTTTGTCAATCGTAAAACCTAACTCCTTTTTGTTTTTCCTGTTGTCACAGAGGAGTTATGGTTAAGAATTTCACAAAAACATTTGGATTTGTGACATTTCATCACCTTGTAGATATTTCTCATAACTAATTGGCTTTCTCGCTTTTTAATAGGTATGTCAAGGCCAGAATTTTTTATCCAAGACTTAATAGCATGAACAACACTACTATATTCTAAAAAATTATCTTAATCATGGGATAGGTATTACAAAAAAGATTCAAAACTTAGAAAAGAACCATCTTCATTAATATCATTAACTCTTTTAATGTTGTTGTTCACATTTGTTTATTATAAAAGGGTTTCCCCCAATATGAATCATTGGGTTGTAAAACAAAGGTGAGTCACCAGCAACTTTAGATACTATCTCATGATTTTGTAGTATCATATAGGATTTGAAAACGTCTATCCAAATTTTTTTTTTCAACGTCTTCAGATAGGTTGTGGCATAATCAACTCCACAGTTTATAAATTTGTCTAAGTTGAAATGTGGAATGAGATGTTCCATACCCCTATTTGTAAAAATGAGCTGTCTTATCCAAAATAATTTCATAGAGGATATAAAAGACTTTTTATGGGAATGTGTTTATACACAATTATTTCTAGAAGAATTTTTATTTTATTTATTATAAGATCTTTTATTTTAGGTTACATTGAGAATAAAAGATCTTTTCGTAATATTGATGACTAGACCAGTCTTCAAGAAAAGGTACAAATTCTTCTTTTAGGTTACATTGAGAATGGGGTGTAGGGGGCTCTGGGTTGAGGTAGCACCCTTGATGTCCTTCATGCTGCGCCCTAATAGGGTGGATGGGCATCACCGGTCCTCAGTCATCCCCTAATCTCTCACGTGTTGGCTCCAAGCGCCACACCCTGGTACAACGTCTCAGCTGGCGGGCTAAACCAAGTGAGGAGGTGGTGTTGACACTGCACCACTAGGAGGCGGAGGAGCTGCGATAGCGGTCAACAGCCAGGGCGGAAGGGCTTCCAGAATAGCTCAACGACCAGGGCCAAGGCGTGCCTCCAGGTAGCGGAGGACTTCGGCTGTAGCTAACGGCCTGGAGAGGGATGGGCGCCGCCAGGTCAAAGCGCCCAAGACACACCATGATGAAGACAACCATAACTGAATCTATACCGGCTCGATCGTCGCCCGGAACAAGGATAGCGCCTTCAGCTTCACACCAGAGCGGAAATGATAAGTACACAAATGGTGCTCAAAGAACAAAGTTACGCGCCAGGGAAAATATTGTCCTCGGCACCTGGAATACAAGAACCTTAAGACAAGAGGGAAGAATAGAAGAAGAACTGGTTTATGGATGAATAGCTATAACTGGAACCTTGTTGGCCAATGTGAGACCCGATGGAAACGCATAGGCGAAACAACAGTGGAGGACACAAGGTGTATTACAGTGGAAGGGATGACATACACAGCGAAGGAGTGGGTTTCCTGGTACATAAAGACACCATCAGTACAGTCATGGGATGCCGCCCGGTCTCAAGTAGACTGATCTCCATCCGCCTGAAAGCAACACCATTTGACATCTCAGTAGTGCAATCATATGCCCCTACAAATGATTACAGTGACGAAGATTTGGATGATTTCTACAACCAGCTACAAGAAATCATTGATGAAACACCTAAGAAAGACATTTTAGTGGTACAAGGTGACTGGAATGCTAAGGTCGGAATAGATGCTCAAGCAATCTGGAAAGATATTTGCGGACCATCATGCAACCCCACAAGAAATGAAAGAGGTTACCAACTGCTGAAGTTTGCCGCCACCTACTAGCTTGTGCTAGGAAACACCCTGGGACTCCACAAACCATCAACGATCTGGACATGGACTAGCCCAGACGGCCAATACAGAAATCAGATTGATTACATTGTGGGCCAAACGCGTTTCAGAGCAGGAGTAAACACAGCACGCACACCTACTTTCCCCGATGCAGACATGTCTTTCAGAGTCCATCTCAAACAAATCAAGATATCAAAGTTTACAAGACTTCTCTTTAACCTGGAGAAGCTAAAAGATCCAAATATAAGAGATTAATTTCAGGAGATGATTGAAGGGAAATTTGCAGCCCTGACTACACTGGATGAAAACAGCTTCGATCTTGAATCAGCTGTTAAGTCTTTCAACGAGGTTATAATTGAATCAGCCAGTGAGATTTTGGGGAAACACCAGCGCCCCAAAAAGCCATGGGTTACCGCCAGCATCTTGGAGCTATGTGACAGGAGAAGGGAGCTGAAAAATGCCAAAGACAAACCAGAAGAAGTTCAGAAATACAGAGAGACACACAACAAAGTCAGGAAGGAGTTGAATAAAGCAAAAAATATATGGATTGAAAAGCAATATTCTGAAATCGAGGAAAACTTTCAAAGGAACAACACCAAGAAGGCGTATCAAGTGGTAGAAGAGCTCACAGCAGAGAAACAGACAAGACCGACAAAGATCCAAGATAAGTCCGGTAAATGCCTAACTGAGGAGAAAGACATACTAGACAGATGGAAAGAATACTGCTCCGAACTATACAACTACCAGCTCAAGGGAGACCAAGCAGTATTAAACTGCCCAATGGCAAACACAGAGGATGATCCACTTCCGATCCTACGAGAAGAAGTTGAATCAGCAATTAATTCTATAAAACTAGAGAAAGCAACAGGTATTGACAACATACCCTGAGAACTAGTTAAGGCTGGAGGAGAAGCAATGATCACAGCTCTTACAACCATCTGCAACAACATCTGGAGCACTGGAATATGGCCAACTCCATGGACACAATCACTGATTATCACCTTACCAAAGAAAGGAAATCTACAGTTATGTAACAACTACCGGACCATCAGTTAAATTAGCCACCCAAGCAAGGTGATGCTGAAAATCATTTTAAATAGACTCAAACCTGTAGCAGAGACCATCATTGCTGAAGAACAAGCAGGCTTTAGAACAGGAAGAAGTACCACCGAACAGATATTCAATTTACGAATAATCTGCGAGAAGTACCTACAGCATCAACAAGATCTCTATCATGTGTTTATTGATTTAAAAAAAGCCTTCGATAGAGTATGGCATGCTGCCTTATGGAACACCATGAGGAAATACAACACCAATTCCAACCTTGTTCGATTGATTGAAGAGCTATACAACAAGGCCACTAGTGCAATTCTCTTAAATAATAGCATTGATGACTGGTTCCGCACAACAGTAGGAGTACGCCAAGGCTGTCTGCTTTCTCCAACCCTCTTTAACATCTTTCTTGAAAGGATTATGGAGGATGCTCTAGATGACAATAAAGGCACAGTCTCCATTGGAGGAAGAACCGTCACAAATCTACGATTTGCTGATGATATTGATGGCCTTGCAGGGAATGAGACAGAGCTGGCTAGCTTAGTAAACTGCCTTGACTAAGCAACTTCTGCATATAGCATGGAGATAAGTGCAGAAAAAACAAAGTTGATGACCAATAACATCCAAGGCATCACCTCCAAAGTCAAGGTCAGCGGAACATGTCTCGAGACAGTGGAGTCATTCAAGTACCTCGGATCCATCATATCTGACGAAGGCTCCAAACCAGAAATTATAGCAAGGATTGCACAAACAACAACGGCATTAACGAGATTACAAACCATCTGGAGAGACAGAAACATCACTCTACGCTCGAAGATCCAGTTAATGCGTTCATTTGCTATGTCGGTCTCCCTTAATGCCTTTGAGACGTGGACACTTACTGCTGAGCTAGAAAAGAGGATTATGAGCATGGAGATGAGATGCTATAGGAAGATACTCGGCATCAATTACAGGGACCATTTGACCAATATAGAGGTCTGCAGGACAGTCACAGAAGCCATAGGACCTCACGATGACCTTCTCACTATCGTCAAAAAGCGGAAACTAAGATGGTACTGCCACGTTTCTCGCTCAAGTGGCCTTGCAAAGACCATCCTGCAAGGCACGGTGAAAGGAGGACGAAAACGGGGAAAGCAAGAGAAGAGGTGGGATGATAACGTATCTGAGTGGACTGGACTGAGCCTCGCTGAAACCCTAAGAGCGGCAGAAAACAGAAATTTATGGATGAAAGTGGTGGATAGGTCTTCTAAGGTGCCCCAACAACATCCATGGAAGTCAAGGGATAGGTGAAGGGATAGGTGAAGGTGAAGGTGAAAACATTGAGAATTATACTGATATTCAAAATACTATTATCCTTTTGCTGAAATATTATTTTTACACATCAAGATGTACTAAGAAATCTTTGAATTTATGTGCTGAAATATCACAAATGAAGTTTTATTATGAAATTCAGACTGTTATATCTTATAGAAATAGTGGAAAAGAAAAATTTGATAACCAGTGGAACAGATGGAACCAACTTTTCTATTAAACTTTCTCTTTTACTCTTCTCTCTCTCTCCTCTCTTTCTCTTGCTTTCCTTTATTCCTCTTCCTACCTCTTTCTATTAAAAAAAATACATTATGTATTTATTCAATGTGTGATATTGTAAAAAGAGATGTAAATAATAAAAAAAGAAATCCATTGTCACAAGTGGTATTGTGTCAATGTTTTATATTAACTTATTGTACAGGTATTGGTAAGAGTTATCTTTATTTGGGCATTAGGAGTTATCGATTATTTCATTTACGCACTAATGGTCACTAGGTTGTACTTGTTGCTATTTTTATCAACGTATACTCGTCGAACCCGTTTGAGTAGTTTGGTCAGTTTTTTATACTGGGTGTTGGCTAGTGTTTGTCAGATGAGGTCTGGACGCCGTGAGTGATACTTTATCCATGCTTAGTGATCTTGGGTGTGCCTTTTATATAACCCATGCTGTGTGAACTTGGGTGTGTTTTAGCTGTTTCCCCTGCTGTGTGATCTTGGGATTCAGGGATGTTTTGTAGCGGCGTTGAGAGCAAGACCTGGGGGCTGACAGTATGATTTTTATGTGTAAAGTGCCACAGCTCAGTAAGTTTTAATACTTTACAATATTTGTTGTTAGCTTTAAAGAGCAATATTTTATGTAAAACTCTTAGCAATATAGCGAGAATGTATATATCTACGCTCTAATTCATTTACTCGTTCAACGGCAAAAATACACGTTTTCTTTTGTTATTTGTTTGTAAAATCTAGTATATTGAACAGATATGTGTTTTGAATATTTTATCAGAAAACCCTATGAAAATTGTAGGTGACCAGAAATTGTATATTAAGCTTTATTTGGACTGGAGGATTTTGCTTACGTGGTGAGGCTACTTAGGATATGGTGGACCGGACGGGACACTATGGTGGACAGTATGGACAATATGGTGGACCGTGGATGACGTTGGAACGTGGTGTGAGACTCGCGTGACAACTATTGTAATGTTGTGAGAGAGAGGTAAAAGAACACGTCTGTCTAGTTTACTAACTATTTATTAAGTGACCATCAGATTGAACATATTCCCATGCATATGATAATGATTGACAACAGATGTAATTAGGGAGAGGAACTTTATCGTGAGAACTGATAATGTCAGAGAGCAGTGCTTGATTGAAAATAAACATTCTGATGCTGGCACTCTAATTGTTAATTATAGATTGACAGATTTAATTTAGAGTATAAACATTTCATCCCTCCCTTTCTTTAATTGAAAGCATGTACATCGAAATAATTCTAATTAACGTTTACACTTATCAAAGTTCATGTGGGTTTCATTTTGAGAATTGTTAGTGATTTTCTAAATGTCCGTTCAACTTTGGTGTCTCTATCCACAACATATTCATGCACAATTACTAATGTTATGTACAAAATCACTATATAATTATGATTTGGGGATTATTATGCCCCATTACAAATCCTCACACTATGTACACACGTAATCTTTTAGATGCGCTGGTGGTCTGCGCTCGCGAGTTGACCGTCTAGGCTCCGACTGTGCGGTAATTAAGTCATCACTGTTATCGTCTGGCACCTCGGATGACCTTTCGTGTTCGTTAATTTTCTTGAAGAATGATGCGTTTCTGGTGACTTCTTTGTTATCATTCTTAGCGGTTATCATAGAGCCTTTTTGTTTAACTACTTCGTACGGCTCGGTACTGTATGGAGTTGATAGTTTGTCTTGTTTTTGTTGTTTTACAAGAACTTTGTCTCCCGGCTGCAGCTTATGATCTAGTGCTCCTCTTCTAATGTCTGCATATCTCTTCATTTTTTCTTTTTCTTTTTGATCTTTACGTGATATTTCCGTGTTTTTGGACGATGGAATAATCTCGGGAATTCTGGTTTTTAATTTTCTGCCTAGTAGTAATTCAGCGGGTGTTGCGCTTGTTGTTGCATGTGGCGTCGCTCTATAGTTGCGCAAAAAACAATATAACTCCTGTTTCCAGCTTCTGTGTTCGGCATGTGCGGCTCGAATCGCTTTTCCAATGGTCTTCATGAATCGTTCCGCTTCTCCATTAGCTTGTGGCCATAACGGTGTAATTTTCCTATGTTGAAATCCTAGATGTTTTGCAAACTCCTTGAAGAGTGATCCGTTGAACGGAGGTCCATTGTCGGTTTTGACTACATCAGGAATTCCAAATAAGGCGAAAACGTTATCTAGTTTCGGTATCACTGCCTTTGCTGTTAATCTTGATAAGATTTCGACTACAGGGTACCTTGAATAATCATCAACAACGACCATTAAGTAGGATCCAGATGGAAATGGTCCACAGAAATCCATGCTGACCTCAGACCACGGTCGTTTGGGTAGGGGTGACATCTTCAGTGGTGTGTACTTTTGTCCTGGTACTGATGCTTGACAGGGAACGCATCCTTT